CAACCTCTCTGCCACAGGCAGGGATGCCATTCACTAGATCAGGTTGCTCAGGGCTCCATCCAATCTGGCCTTGGACACTACTAGAGATGGGACATCCAATACTTCTCTGGGATTTCTAGCTTCCTGGAAAGCAGCAGCATAAAAGAATAAGAGGAAAAAAATCCTACTCTAAGTCTCAGCTGCCTGAAATCAGCCTAAACTTCTTTTTAACAACCGAGCTACTTCAGCATCTCTCCTCTCCTCACACTATTTCATACATTTAGGTTCTTAATTCAGCACCAGCCAGGAACAGGAAATGTTAATAATTATCCCAATTTTCAATCACTATAACTGATTTTTCAAAGTAGCATGTTCACAAATTTCCTCCCTTTATGCGACTAGAAGCTGAAGAGTGAAAGTCCGTGTAGGCAAACGCCAAAGCAGCTGAAAACAAAAACCTGAGCTGCTGTGCATCACTTGTTATGATCTCACACCTTGTGCTCATGCAGAGTCAGAGCACACAGCTGAGGTCACTGCTCTCTTGTGCAGTTCATTAGGGTCAATGTCTGCCATAAACACTCGAAACTGGCATTCAGCTCGCAGGAAACTGTGAGGAAACAGAAGCCTTAACAAACAGAAACAATCAATATGCAGAAAGAAAGGCTGGTTCTGACAAGGATTTACAGGAGCAAATCACAGAGAGCCTTGGAGCCACACACAGCCTGAAAGCCAGTGCAGTGCAGATGCACAGCAGCCTCTGCTCTGCTCTGTAGGATGTGGGGATGCCTTCAGGCACATGACCCCACTGCTCGTTCCTCATGGAGTACAGCGTGTTTCTATGGTACAGAAATGACAGAGCAGCAAATACAGCTCCAGAACAGCTCCAGAGCATTCCCTTCCTCTCCTCCATAAATCCCTCTTTACTGGAGGGCACAGGGAACACAGACACTCGGTGTGCACAGTGAAACAAAGGGACTGTGTGGTTCCACACAGTTGGATTGAGTGGCCATACTTAAACACCCTCCAGCTGCTGCAGAAAAGGGCATAGAGCAGCAGCCCAAGGACACCTTGCAGCGTTGGTACCCTTTAAATAGTTTCTCTCTAACCACTGAGGACTGACATTGTATTTCACAGGGGTCTGCCAAGTGTTAAGGCACACTGCCATGTTATCCCACACAAACACAGAAGGGATTAAGGAACAGTCAGTGACAATTAGCAATATTTCTTTTTTCCACTCTTTCACATTCTTCGTGTTCTACACCTTTCTTCAGTTTTCTGTAGGGTTGTCTCCATATTTTTGTATTTTTTTTCATATTGTTCCACCAATTTTTTTCATTTCTTATTTGGCTTTACAATTTACTTTTCTTTGTTATTTTCTTCCCACTTTCATAATTGTCTGTAATATATATTTAAGATGTTAAAAACAGACAAAAGGGTTTTTACAAAACAGGACAATAAGTGAGCTGCTTATAAAATCCAGATTGGCACATCACAGCTGCAGCCAGTGGATGCTGAGTGTGTTCATCAATGGTCAGAGCTTCAATGGAAGCTCATATCCTCAGAAAACATGGCCCTGAGGTGACAGACTCAGTACCACTGATTTATCCCAATTTCTCAATAACACAAATGAACTCTAAAGAAATAAAATGAATAGGGATAAAAATTGAAAAATGGCAGAAAAGTGAAGAAAATAATAGAGAAAGGCTAAAAGGGCAACTTGACTTATATACTAAAGCTTTTGTCTGGAAACAATTTTTGTGCAGTCCCACTTCTTCAGAAAAGAAACCAAAAATAAAATAAACAAAACAAAACAAAACAAACAAACAAACAAACAAAAGAAAACAAAACAAAAAACCCACTCAAAAAATGACACAAATTAAAAGCCAGAAAATACATTTGGATTTTGGACTTACTTGTTAGAGTTCCACCAAGTGAGTTGCAGTAACCATAAGGATGAGACAATTAACTCTGTCATTGCTGAAGTATTTTCCAAATAGACTAAGCTGAACATAAAATTTAGTATTGTGCTTTTGTTTCAGACTAGCATAAGGTAGTGAGAACTTCAGACAAGTAAAAGAGGCAGTCTTGGAGGGTTCAGTGAGAAAGTTGCTTGAGATGTGGTCAGAATAATTTTATATTTTAGAAGTAAATATACTTAATTTCCTAGCATGACTTTGTAAGAGTCATATATCTTCTTTTTTGTATGCTTATTATCCTCTAGATTATGGAAATCTTTCTGTATGCTGAGAACAAATTACCCTGACAGGGCAGTCCCAGTTAATCCCACTCTGCATTTGGTCTCCCACTGCTTCAAACAAACAGCCCAGAATGGTGTGGGTGCCATAGGCTTCCAGAGTGATTTGCAGGATCAAGGTTTCTTTAACATATCAGATGAATAGCCCAGTCTCCCCTGTCTATCATCATGATAATCATGACATGTAAATGTGGCAGTCTGGTCAAATGGTGTATTCAAATCTCCCAAGTTAGATTCTTTATGGTGAGTCATGTAGAATTGAAAGACATAAAATGCCAGATTTTGATGCGTTTTCTGTAAATCTCAGAGTGTCTTCTACTTCTGCAATATCTGAACACAAACCTGATTCTTGCTCAGGGCAGTAATCCCACAGCATTAAGTCATACTGTAAATACCAGACAAATTACAATCGGATTAGATGGGCAGTCTGTTCATTTACTCAACACAGCTGCACTCCAGAGTCTTTTCACCACTGGTGTCTATTTATAACATGAATGTGTTTTTCTTAAATAAATGGACACTACTTCAATTTCATATCTACCTTGTTCTTACCATTTGTGGCCAATAAGGAGCACGTTTCTACTTCCTAAGGAACAAAGAGAGTGCTCCTTGAGAGGCCAACAAGGCAGTTCTTGGTACAGATCTGGCAAGATTTAGTTTAAATTTATCAGTGAAAAGTCCTTTGAAAGTTTTGCATTTAATTTCAGTCGAGTAGAATATAGCAAACATACTCTGCATATGAGACAGCACCACAGATACACTGAAATTTCCCAGGACTTGCAGTATTCATGACAGGAACTTCTCCAGGTTCCAAACTTGCTTACACTGGTGAGTGTATAAACCTCACCACGTAGAACTGGTGTAGCATGGGATTTACAGCAGATTTCTGGACTTAGGAATAAGAAATATATTTTATAATGTTCAGTATCACCTACCAAAATCTTCCTAGCACTTCACTGAAATTATTTATAAATGTCACATCACATCCCTCATAATTGCTCCCAATTAAAAGAATCATCTTGCCTTTTAGATACAAGCTCGCTTCCATCCAGCACACAAATCCGGTGTTACTGTAGTTTTACTACTGCAATCAATTAATGAAACTGTACTGAATCATGGAGCTGAAACTTTCATAAAACAGGATTAATGACTACAGGCCATGAAAATAATAAACGCAAATTAAGCAAACTGCTGCACCAACTACTATTCTCAGTATCTCGCTAACTCTATTCTCACCTTCACTTTCTGATTGCAGAGCTGTTACTCCTGATGTAAGATCAGAGATAAATAAGAATAATACTGAGGCTGGAGAAGAGGAGCCAATGAGTCAGGAGGGGTGAGGTGTAGGCCAGCCTAACCCATTGCCACCAAGCTTCTCCATTCTTACACATAGGCATGTCCTCAGTCAGCTGCAGAGGTGTGAGGCAGACAGCTCTGCCCGTGCAGGGCCAGAGGAGTGTCCTGCTGAGCACCCTGAGCTGCCCAGAGTGCTGTGACCACACTGCAATGAGTGACATAACAGAGTGGCACAAACACAACCAGAACACAGTGTGGAATTCACGTCCCTTCCCTAGTGATACTGTAGCCTGGAAACCAGAATACTCTCTTTTATCAGGTATAAACCAGTGCAGTTTATCACACCATATTGAATATGTTAGAGCTGTCAATAGCCATAATGTAGTACCTGCACAAACACGAGATCAGCTGTTCTCCAAAGACAGCTTTTTCATTAGGCAGGTGTCAACAATTCAAAGTCATAAAAAGATTTTACTGAAGTGGAGGAGAAAGCATCCTAAGTCTGCTTTGCACTGAGACAGGAGGTTTTAGAAAGACCTTCCACTGCAGGACACCCACTGAACAGGAACATTTGTGTAACAGAAATACTGGTGCCAGGTTCTGCTTTCACACATGTGACTCCTGTTGATTTTAAAAGGAGTTTCCATATTTCACTAGCTCGGAAGTACAGGGTGTACATGGTGTAAACCTGAATGCATATGGAACATTGATTTTATGACACAGCATATGACAGGTCAATATTGGCTTAAGGTTTTCCTGCAAAGCCTCCTTCTGTGCATTTCTTCCCGTGTGGGTTTATAGGTTATGTGCATTATAGGCAATGTTGGATTTCAGATCAATTCACAGCACAACCTTCCAACCAGTCACACTAGTCCAGCTGAAAGAGATATTCCACAGCACAGCATGGAAAGAGAGGAATCACAGAATCACAGAATCATTTAGGTTGGAAAAGCAATCCAAGATCATCAATCTTAACCTTTGCCCCAGGCTTAACCAAGGTTAAGCTGGTACCTTTGGCTGCCATCATATTTTCCAGGATTTCTGGCCAAGTTAAGGACAATCAGTGGATCTTTGCAAATAATCCTCAATTTTATATATAGTCTTTGGTTATTTTGCTACAAGCTGCTAAAGGTCTTAGCATCCATCAAAACAGGAAGGATGTGACAAGGTGGGAAGATCCCAACTCACATGGAACCTCTACAGCTGTGGAAAAGTTAGTGAGAACTGACTCTTTTTGCAAGACCAAGGCATGAATTGTACTTCTAAGTGCAGTACGCATAATTAAAAACCTTAGAAATATAACAATACAAAGACTAAAGCAATTTTAGCAATAATAATTTTTCTTTTCATTACAAGACTATAAGGAATTCAGAATCCTGAGTTTTTTAATTTTTGAAAGCATTTGATTTTGTAAAGTACACTACCAGATATTATCATACAAAGATAAGGAAAAAATACATCAAGAACTTACTTTCTGCAGGTTCCTTAGATCTTCTGCCACTGGAGGACTTCCTCAGGAGACTTCGTCCTGAGGTGAAGAGGCTGGTTAGCTCCTCCAGGGGACTGGTGGGTGTCCGAGAACGGGAACTGCTCTGAGATGATGATCCATAGGTGCTGACCGAGACACTGACCATCTTTCCTCCTTCTTGCAATGTGTTTCTGGCTGTAGAATGAGGCACTGATGGAGAGCTTCTTGAAAGACTTCCTGAATGTACAGAGTCGTAAGGTGGAGGTCTTTTGAGGCTTAAGGGGGTAAGAGACCTACCCATACTGACAGGAGAAGGTGAGGCAGAGTGACTTTTAGGATAACCGTGTGGAGACTGCGTTCTGTATAAGGTAGAAGGATGAGGAGGTGAGGAGGTGTGCCCAGGGGTGCTAGTTCCATGAGATACTGTCTGGTCTTTCTCCAGTTTTTGATGGCCTGGTGTATGAGGTGGCAGTGAAGATGGAGAAGCTCCAGCTTGCTGTTTGATGTAAGACACGTTTTCTAAGACGGGAAGCTTTGTGACCTCCAGAGGAGTTAGAGGAGACTCGTCAGAATTGGGGGAACACTGCACTGGTGCTGGTGGGAACACCAGCAGTGGAGGTCTGTGAGAAAGCAGGTTTGGAAATGGCGGGGGTATGTCACAAAGCAAGCCCTTGGGAGTAGATGGCACTGAAGACTTGGTGAAATCTAGGTCAGGCACTGTGGGAGTAGCACACTGAGAAGAACAAGTGTGATGGTCATATTCACATTGACATTTTGAATCTTGGCCTACATCATCAAATATAGGGTATTTCATCTCCTCGTAGACCGCTTCACTTTGGTCATCCTCATCTTTTTTGAAGTCTCTGAGAATATTCCCAACCATTTCAATATAAACAGGCTCTTCTTCCTCTGTGTCTGGAGCAGGACTGCTGACCTGTGAGAGTGAGGCATCCCTAGTGAGGGTTGCCTTCATAGGGCCATGCTTTTTGATATAAGTTTCATCAAAAGATGTGCTTAGCTGAGTGTTTGGGTTTCGTTTCGGCTTAGGAGGTGGAATCTTCTTTGTGTACTCATCACTGTGAGGTCTTGGTTTGGCTGACACTGAAAACAGAGCAGAACATAAACTTGTCAGATGCCTGTAACACAATTTGTCAACCACAAGGTCTCTTTACAGTGTCACAATTCTGGAATGGATTTCCTGGGACCAGCTTGTTGCTGTTTTTCTCTGGTATTACATCAATAGAACACTATAAAAATAACATTCAATTCAAAACACTCCTAGACTTCCCCTAGAATGCTCTGACACTCCAGGATTAAATAACTAGCGAGTGTTTCTCTTCCTCTGAGACATCTGTTCTTTCCCAAACTCTTTGGGACAGGGGACTTTCCATTTTTAAATATGACACTTTTCAAATATCACTGTAAGAACCAAAGAGTTGCCAACAACATAACACTAAATATCAAAATTAACTGCTTTTGGCTCCAAAAGAACAATTAAGATCTTGGACAGTCATATTGGAATGACAGTGAGGTAACTGCAGTGACAAAGTGATGAATCAAGACCTTTTTATTTATAGCAACTTCTTGCATAAAGCACAACAATTGTCTTAGCATTAACTGAGAAGGAAAATACTCATACACAAACTGTAAAATCTGCTGTTGAGATAATCCTGGTGATTTATCTGGACTCCATTCTATTGTTAGAATCTCGTGAATCTCTTCACCAGATTTCTGTGAAGTCAAGGAATAACAAAGTTCCTCACAGATTTGGATCCTTTCCACACTGGTTACTTATAGAAACCTTGTCTTTGAAATTATAAATCAAAACATTGTGATGAAATTCATTTGAAATGAGAGGTCAAGGGTTTCTTGGAAATTATCCTTTATGAATTAAACAATAAAGAAACTCATGCAAATTGCATTTTGTTCACTTTGCATAAAGAGCTAATAAAACATCTCATTAAATGTTAGGGTTAATAAAATGCCTCATTAAATGTTTAAGTGAAGTCAGTTTTTATCCTAAGCAGACTCAACAAACTTGTTCAGAAACAAAATTTATCACATACACTAAACCTAGCTTGTATTTCTAGAAGGTAATTGATACCTCATTGGTAAGTTCCCCAGTTCAAACAAACAACAAACACACAGAACCAAACCTGTGGCCAGGTTAGAAGGGTAGCTTTCCTGCCTTTCCAAATTTTGTTGCTCCTTGTAATTCACTGCTGCATATCTGCCAGTTTGAACTCAATGCTCAGAGAAATTTCCAGACACCTTCTGCTCACCTATCAGCAAACACCCAGCAAATGTCTGATGCTAAACCAGGCAGGCAGCACTCGTGGAGTTGAAAATCCTGTTTTAGACACAGCCATAAACATATTCCTAAAGGCAGCAGTAAGGCAGTGCTCTGCCAGCTCAAACACAGCGTTTGGAGTCTGGGAGGATGCTGGCTCAGAGCTGGACGACACCTGCATTAAAGCACCTTACTAATGTGGTTTGGTCACTATCAGAGGAGAATTCAAACCGTGTTATCACTTTGTCACACTTGTGCTTTGATCTGCTAAATAACTTCTGTTCAATTCCCACAAGGTGTAGCAGTAAAGGCAGATGATAAATAAGTTTTGTTCAGGAATAAGGAGCTGTGAATATGTACATATATAAAGTAATGAGACTACTCTTTGTTAGCAGCATTTGTTTTAGCTTAACACATAACTAAGGCACAACAAAGCAAAATGCAAAAGAAATCTCACCAGAATTAAAAGGAAAAAAAAGACTCAAAAATTATATTATACTTTCATGATGGTTCCAATTAATGTGTTCCACTTTGCAGCAGGCTGGGGACATGCAAAAGCTACCACAGATAAGAGTGTTTGGTAGCTTGATAGTTTTTCACTATGTGGATATATCCTAATACATTTTAAATTTGTCTTTTTAATTAACCCAAATTAATTTTCTTGAATGTATTAGGCTAGACTTTTGGGAATAAGATGTAGGCTACCAGAATCATCTGGGCTTTGCAGAAAATATTACTTGTGATGTATTTGACAATACTAGCAGATTTTTCTTGCCTGCTTCCAGCTAAATCACTATTTCATTTCTGTTTAGTGTCTTATTTGTATATTATGTTTTTATATATTCTACTAGCATAAACTTGATCTCAGTCCTCTCTCCAACCTCTGTTAATCTGATTCACAACCCTGTCAAAAGCAATCTTATTCAGATTGCTGTCATTAAAATGAAGAGACTGTCAATGAAACTAGCACAAACTGCCTGATCATTTGTGAACATGTTGTACATGACCTGAACTCTACTTCAGCTACATTTGAAAATCCTGTATTTTGTAAACATAGGCTTCTCACAGTCTCCAGTTCCCTGTACATCACGCTACCATCATTAATGGATACCTGAGAAAGGAACATTTCCTGCTCCTCTGCTTCCTCAGATCCCTGTTCCCAGTGCTGCCTTTTACATCTTCTGTGCCACAGGTGTCACACTGAGAATGTGCTCTGTCTTACAGCCACAACCCCACTCTTTGATGTCTTTATCTGGATAGATGTTAATGATGGATAAAATAATCCAAAGCTGAGTTAATCTTATTGTGGTCATTCAAGGCTAATGTTAACTGATATTTTTTCTAAAACCAGCCAAAAGTGGTCTAAAATACTGTGCTTTTAAATTGCTAGAAAAAGCATATTTTCCTCTTCCCTCATTCCATTTTCACAATTTTTATCCAGCTGAAGAGCTTCTGCTACATGGTATAAACTCGTCCTTGGGTTTTGGAGTTCCCATATACAACATCCACATTACAAACAAGGAAATGAGAAATGTCAAGGAAAAACAATTAACATTCTGCCATCTAGTCTTGTATTTTTGCATGGGTTGAAATTAAGTACCACAATGACACACAGAGCCTCATCTGCCATTGCATGATATGTAGCATTAGCCTAGAATATATTGGTGACATTATCAACAAAAAGGTCAAATGACCTGGTTCTGCTGTATGAGACAGGGTAAAACATGACAAGGTGATTCACTTTCCATTTGTTTAAGTTTTTTATAAATCTTAAAATGTACCTTCTATATGCTGCACAGAGCATGAACATTTGCTGCTATAAGACTCCCTAGAGAAAATACAGAGGTAAATAGATAGAGTTAATAAAAAAGTAAAGCTTTTTATCATTACTGGGAACAGAGGAACTGTTCACACCCACTAGGAGCTCCCTCAGCTGCAGGAGGACATTCAGTGGGCAAACTGAATTCTCTTTAAGAAGGCTACAGTGTAAGACACTTAAATTCATTTAACAGCAGTTTCTGCTTTGAAATACAGCTCCCTGGCTGAACTCTACAGCACACCTGTTAATGGAATATGGATCATGAACTACTGCTCCAGCCCAGAACAATAGAGAAAAGTAACAGGAATCCTGCAGCTAAACAGAGCTGTCCAAGGCTAATGAAAGGAGCAGGGAGTATTTCTGCAGTTCCTGTGTTCCCAACATTTGGCAGGGATAGATGTTCATGAATGCAGAAGCCCTGGCAAGATCCCACACCCAATGAAAGGAAATTATTTGGCAATCTCCATGGAGGAACAGGCAAGATTGCTTAAAGTACTTGACATTTATCAGGCAGAAAAAGCATTCAGTGCCTGCTGGGAACATAAACTTCTATGAAAAGCAAACTACTGTGGCATATTGGTGATACACATCCTACCGTGTTGTCTGCTCTAAACATGGAGTAATTAAGTGCTTTTCAACATGAATTACTATGTCCTTGATGAAACTGTTGCTTGTAACTTGTGTTGAGACTCTGCCACTCGTATACCTCAGAGTACACAAGCCCTGATCCAAAGCTAAGTGGAAGAAATGAAAGTGAGAATTGTTTCTTTCCCCACCAGGGAAAGAAACAATGCTATCCGCAAGAATCCATCTCAGAGTGCACCACAAACCTCTTGTGAGTGCTTCTATTACAGACACACACAAACACAAGGCAGCACCAGGCCTGTGAGGAGTTTGAGCACATGGGAGGTGCTCAGGGGATGATGCTCAGCACCTGCTCCATGTCCTCTGTCCCCACAGGAGCTGCCCCAGCTCAGAGCTCTGAATGCTGTGCCAGCACCTCCTTGTTTGCATCAGAACCACCCAAGCTACCACAGCTGATAAACTAGAGGCTCAAGGATTCTTGCAAACAAAAGTGAACTCTCCATGTAGGACACTCATTCCAAGCAACCATCTGGCTCTAACAAACTTCAAGGGAAACAAGAGATGCAGCTCTGGTAACTCCAGGTCTCACCTCGAAGCAAGAAGCACAGCGCCTAAAATAGCCTCATGGAAGCTCTACTGAATAAGGAGAATATGACATTTTTGAAATGAGATATTTGTAGTGGAAAGGTTATATATAGCTTTCAGACATGCCCAGATAATCTCTCTTCCATAGTTAATTTTGGAAATAGACAATGCTTCTGCTATTATCCTTCTGAAGTATCTTTTTATTCTTTAAGGAGAGACTGAAACATGAAAATATGTTGTTAGATTGTTGTTTATTATTTGCTCACTGTATAAGGAATGAGTGAAAACCTCTAAAAATTAAAATTAATTTTGCTATTTTATATTATCCTTTGGCTATTTTCCAGCTTTTGCATTCTACAGACCAATCCAGTGAATTGTTCTGTTCACTGTAACAAAGAGAATAAAACCACAAACAGGAAAATTGTTCCCTTTCAATTTCTACAAGAGGCTATAGATTCAATGAAGGAATGATTTGGGACCTACAATTTAAAAAAAAATTCTTAAAAATGTGACTTTAAATGCAGAAGGAATTAATCTTGCTATATTTTGGGGAGTACCTCTATCAAAAAGAGCCTCCAGGAGTGAAAGGAAATAGAATTCCTTTAATTAAATCCTGAATGTGCTGGATACTGAATCACAGATGCAGAGATTCTGATTTGCATCCTATAACTCTAAAGAGAACATCCAGCTTTAGGGTAGTACAAAGCCTATAGATATATGTGCAAGTTCAAGATTATGAACAAGCAGTTCATTTCATTAACGCCAGTGGGGTTACTTGCAGAGGATCTTAAGTGCATTTGTGCACCAGTGCTTATATTGGGT